CCCCCCCCTCAACCCCCGTCCTAAATCCCACCCTGTATATTGTATCGTGCATTTACTATACGCGCATGCATAATATATTATTAAAATAGGTGTTAACTTCTGTATGTGACTCTAGTCAATAAAAATGTACCGTTTTTACGATAAACGATTAGTTTTTAAACGCGTCGCGAGCGTATTATTGTACCGGCGAACGAATTGCGCGCATACATTAACTATATTTATATTAATAAATTATTATTATTATTATTATTATTGCTGTTGTTGCTGTTGCTGTCGTCGTTTTGTTTTAATTTCCTCTGTCGTTTTCCAGGCCCGCCACACGCCACACGGCCGCGCGCGCGACGAAAATTATTCGTATTATCATTGCGATATTCAACGGCCGCGGGGCCGACAGGTTTTCGCGCGCATCTGGCGAAACGGTTACGACGGACGCGACGGACGGACGGCCGCGCGCAGCGCCTTCGCCGCCGCCGCCGTTGAACGAAAACGGGCGACCGGCTGGCAGCAGCTGACGACGCGCGCCGGTGTCCGCAGCCCGCCCGTTACGTTATTGTCATCGCGAAACCTCAACCCGCTCGCGTCCGCACGTCCCGCCCGTTTTTCGCGATTCGGCCGGTGGCGGCGGACACGCGGCCCTCCCGGCGGCGAAAACAAACAGCTGTTCCTTCTACAGCGGGCCGCGCCTGCTGTACCTTGTGCGCCACGGACGGGCGGCCGGTTTTCGCGCCAAACCGGCCAAACTATTAAAATGTTACAACACGCGAAATAGCAAATAACTGTATTTGAATAATATTGTTTAACGAACAACTTAAGGAAAATACGAATAGGAAACGTATGATGAGATTCGAGTGAAACTGTACACGCGTTTATGAAACAGCGAGCCCACTGTGAAATTTTAAAAACACGGCGTCTCCGGGTTGTGGAGGGGTGGACGCAGAGGGATTCCGTATCTATTTTACGGAGATGTTAGCGTACCTATATTATGTAGCCGTACTCGTGTCAGGACGCCAGTTGGCGGGCAAACGCGTTTTTGCGTTTTCATTAAAACACCAATTTTAAACGTTTGTTTAAAAGAAAAATAGAACTGTTCGAGAAAAACGGACGTTCTAAATTAATGAAAATAGGTTAAACGCATTGGAATGAGCGTCGTTACCTAGGGGGACACGGGAGCTACGCAATTTACAGTTTGGCATCTGTGAAGATGATAAAATGTGTGCACGGAAATAAAATTATTTGGAAAATATGCCAGATATTCCAGATGGAAATCTAGTCGAAAACTCAAACAATTCGTGAACGGTCGGTTTGGTTACGAAATTCTAACAGGATGTCCATTACAGTACGGCTGCTACAAGTCGTACCTAGTTGTGGAAGTTATTTCTCGAAACAAACCGTTTTTAAAAGTAAACAAAAAGAGAGTGGATTGCAGATCGGAGTGTTAATGATTTTTTGTTATTTGTCGAACAAGAGAAAACGAAAACATAAGGGGCGTATTTAGACATTTTTTTTTTTTTTTTTTGTGAGGACTGGGTATTTTCTCCGAGGTTAATTCCCCGATTCAACCTGTTAAAAAACGAGAATAAGAAATTTACCACACAATTTTAATTGCCGCCGCGGTTTCAACTGTTTTCGCCGAATTAATAATGAACACAGAATATTAACGATGACGTAAAGAATTATATTAAATTTAAATAATTGCATTGTCCGTCACGATTGTCTGATAACATTGCCGTGTACGTCCGCGTCTCGACGAATCGCCGAACGTGCAAGTCCCACTAGCATAGATTCCCAAGGTCGCGTTACTGTTTAGACGCGTTTCCGGGTTCTCTCGCCGCGGAAAAGCTGCGTTCGGCCGGATACCGGTATTACAGCCGGTATTTTTTTTTAGTTGACCCGTGCGCGTTCGGGTACATTGACGCCCCCAAAGCCCCCGAAGCCCCGATAGAGCCTCGGGTTCACTTCAACATTGTTCCGTTTTAGCTTTCCGCTCCGGTTCTAACGCTTCTGTAATGCCGTTAAGCCCCACTCCCTCCCCGCGTATATATATCGGACAGCGGTTAATAGCGCCCGACAATAAACCACAGAAGCGATGAAAACCGCACGGCGCGAACACCCGACCATCGCGTCGTGTCGGCCGTCGGTCGTCGCGGTTTTTCGGCGATAACAGCGGCGGCGAACCTCTCGGGATTGTTTTCGGACCCGCGCGACGGGACGAGTGAAAATTCTCTTTCGAGTCTCTTTTCGATTAGTAAATTTGTCCACATCGTTCTTAAGAAAAACAAAAAAAAAAAACAAACGCGGTTTTCTCGCCCGGCGATGGTACTTTAACTTTTTTTTCGAAAAATAACAACAAGAAACGATAACAATACGTGTTAGGTGCATCGGTTTTAATTTTTTTCGATTTCCGGGTAACCTTGACCCCAACAAGGGGAGGAAACACGATCAATACTACGCAACTAAGGCGGATCCACCTTGACTATTTTACCTGTTAGTTAACCGAGCTCCGGTCAAAATCGTTTTTTGATTACCCAATGATTTGTCGTCGCTTCCAAGTTCCAGCGTATAAACTAAATTTTCCTAAATCCTAGACCTTCCCTTAACTGTCCATCGCCGACCTGCGCTGCCATTTATAAGCGTTTGCCCCTCCACCCTTGTTATTCAATGTCCAGTAAGTATACCTACTGACTTTATAGTACCGAGTACTCTGATGCATTATACTAACGTTATGAAATATAGTCAAGTATCTAAAATCAGATCTCCGCGGACCGCAAATAATGAAATATATTAAATTGGTTCCCAATATTTCGCCTGACCCTTGGCGATCCGCGAATAACAAACTCAAATAACAAAAGTGGGTAGGTACGTCGCAGTAGTCCGAAATCCACATCGAGCAATCGACTCGCCCGAAACGTTACGGTTATTTGACTTTTTTCCCCTAGAGATATTTTTGACTGGGTCATTATTATTACAATAATAATACCACGACGGACGAATTAAATGAAATAGTAAAATCACGTGAAATGATCCTAAAATGTATTGAAAGTCGACCCTCAAAATTCCATTGTGGACGTAATGTTTCATTTTATAATATCGTATGTACTTTTGCAATATAAACAGTCGGTATATTTTCGGTTTTAAACATATCAATAGTCTATGCGGGGCAGATGTACTCAGAGCATCTGCGCCACATCCTGTGCAAATGTACCTCGGATTTGTGACATGAATATTCAGAATATTTTTGGGTTCGGGTTAAATTTAACGTTTATTTTTAAAAACGCAATAATAGATTCTAAATGGAGCGAGGAATCTATATTGGTTTTACAGTGATGTTTATTTTTTTATTTTTTTCCGCGGACAACTTTTCTACCAGCAATTTCGATCCGATTTACAATGAGAGTAGTTTTTCGGAAAAGAAATCTGACTAGAGTGGTACATTAGAAGGTCATTTTTTGATTTTCCCGGGAGTTTTCCCAATAAATTGGAAGAACCGGGAAAAAACTTGGGGAAACCGGGAAAATAGGTACGATATTAAACGATTGTTATTAAAAAAAAATATTCAATACTTATTTTACTAAAATATGACAAACATATTGTTGACAAAGCAACACTATCAACCGAACTCCGCTCAGAATCGTTTTTTCGTGACTAAAGATTTATCGTTGCATACAGATATGTATCAAATTTCCGTCTATATCCTACCTTCCCGACGTCTCGAGTGGCTACACTCATCCCCATTATCCAAGGACAGCTTTATTTTAATAAAACAAATTTATACACTTATAAATGTAAGGCTTAAGCACACGCTGTAACGTGCTTAGATGTTGTCGGTCATTTTTTGTAACTTTTTTAAAAAGAAATTGCCGAAATCTATTCAATAATAATCAAATAAGTAATGCAATCAGTCGAAAATCCACATCTCTTAAGGTAATATATACAAAAAAAAAACACCTGTAGAACGAATAGCTTCTTCACTGTACATTCAGAATTTTAAATGATACTATTTTAGATTCTGAGTTTAGCAAAGAATAAATTGATTTTACAAAGATGTTTATTTTCTTTTTATGTAAACACTTTTTCTACCAGAAAGCATACTCCGGTTATCAAATACAGCACCTTTTCTGAGAGAAAACATTCTCTGGGCGGTACTTTAGAAAGGTTATTTTTTGAAATTCTCATAGATAACTATTCGAGATAATGAGGAAAACCTTGTTCTTTAGGTTAAAACAGATTGAAAGATTAAAAATAAGGTTGTCATTGACAACCGTTTTTTATTTATTATTTGTTATTATTAAGTTTTATTATTTTAATCTTTTTCAAACAATCATTGTTGTCGTGTAAACGCACATTGTTGTAATCATTTTACCATCCATAATATGACATATGTATTGTTGAGAAAGCAACACTATCAACTGAACTCCGCTCAGAATCTCGTTTTCGTTAGCAATGGTGTATCGTTGCTTACAATACTTTGCGATACAAATTAATTTCTCCTTTATATCCTACCTTCCCGACGTCTCGCCAACAGTTGCTGCACCCGTACAGATTATCCTAGGACAGCTTTTTAATTATTAATCGTCATTATTCGTCGCTCAATTTTAACAAATCGAGTTTCGGTTGGTATAAACGTATAGTTTTGAATATTACAGATATCGATGATTTTTTTTTTTCGTATAATTTTCGTCGTGACTAAAAATAAACAGTGGCGGGATGCCGGTCGATCTCAAAGTAAGTAAACAGACTACTAAGTGCAAAAGTACTGTGCCTACAATGTGATTTCCTGAAGCCAACGCGACGGTGTAATATCTCCGTGTTTGGATATTTCCACATGGCGGCGTGTAAAAGCGGTGGACTATTAATATAGGTGCGCGTATTGCGTGTTTAGAACACTGTTTTATTCACAGCGAGCCGAACAATAATTAAAACGTGCCAATAATGTGTTTCCGAACGAAATATCCGTAATCGGTTTTTTCGTCGTGTAGAATCACCTACCGCTTTTAACTTTGCAAACATTTTTCGCATCAATAAACAATCGTCCGAACGGTAAAAAAACGAACGATCGCGTGTCGGACGTGAAACAATATTTGAGGAGTTCGTCACGTTGGTGACTATACTCGTCACTCGGGTCCAATCACCGACACACGGAATTTTCAAAATAATATGTTGGCTCTTTTTTAAATGTTATTTTTAAAAGGAAGTTGCCACGCGACAAGGGACAGCGAATAATGAACGACCAAGATCATTATTAGATTAGATTCAGTTTTAGCTGCAATAAAAGTTTCAACACCCGAAAATTCTCTAAAAATCTATTTTTTTTTTTTAAATTATAGTAATATTTGAAATTTGTTATTTTGAGCTCTCCCACCAAGATTTTTTTTTTAAAATATAGTAACTGTAGCGCAAAGACATAGTAGTTATTAAAAAAAAAATGTGTATATATTATGTAATAAAATTATTGAATATAACAAAAGCTATTTCAAGTGGCAGATCATTGTGGGACGACACTCTGTATCGTACCTAAACGCGACTTAAAATTGGTATTCTTGAACTGAAATCGATAAGATTAAATCGTTGGTCGAACGCGAAAATTTAAGTCTTCGTTGCGGTCTACAACTTACAACTTACCATCTGAGACTGAAGATATTTAATAAAATAATAAAGTAAAAACAAAATTATTAAAATGGTCAATACTCGTAAATAAATATGTAAATACAAAATTTATATACATAAAAGTAAAAAATAAATAAAAGAACAAATACGTCGTCCGAAGTGTTATACGACCGATTCGAATTAAAAATTCGTCATCATGTATGTCACAGTCAACTTTTCATGTAAATGAGTCGCGTTTTACATATTTTTGACTGCGGTGTTCCTGACGTTTTTTTTTTTTTATTCGAAACCGGTCATATAATACGTTTATCATAATACTCCGGGCGACACATTTATTCATTTTTTATTTATATATTTATTAACTGTACGAAGTTATTTGTTAAAATCGTGATTCACAAGTACCATTCCTAATAATATAATGTCTAAAGTGAGGCCGACTCAAAAACAGATAAATCATAATTTATCAATAATGTACAGTAGGTAGGTATAAAAAATGACCTGCACAGAAAAAAAAAATAATCGCCCATAATAGTTTAACGAACGTGTGTTTAGCGAAGTATTGACATCAAAAGCAGATGAACGCAAACATTTTAAAACTACGCGAGGGCTTAGTTAATTACTATTGAAAATTAATAGTCCGCAATTTTCAATAAATAAATACTCAGACAATGCGAATGGATCCGTAATAATGTTCTTATTTCGGGCCTGTCTTTCGTAATTCGCATTTTTTAAATGATTTTCTTGTTCCTCGGCGTTATTCGTGGCAAACAGTATTGCCGTTTCACCGAAGTTAGCCATTAATAATTATTATAATATTATCGCAGAATATGAACAAATAATTGAAAACACAACGGTACAACACGCAAATTAAAATTTTTAGACATTACATGATTATTGACACGACGTATTTCCATAAATTATCATGCGACATAGGCTTGTCACCGACTCACTCGACACATAGACGACATTTTTTCGTTCGACTACAGTCGTACCTTATTTCAAGAATGCCAAATTTATATTTTCGTGCTATAAAATGTCTATCGCGTGCGACAAAGTTTATCGTGATATCAAGAATTGGCCATCTGTATTGTAAATTTTAATAATTTTGGTCAAAAGTAGTGAAAATAATTTAAACTGTTACAAGGTGGAGATATTCACCCAACAAAAATCGGATTCAATTGTAACAAGATGGAAAAAAAAAAAACTCAAATCGAAATGAAATACATACAACAAACACCGATAGAGCATCTTCAACGTTAATCACGTTTAACATATTTTAGTTTTAGGTACAAGCAATGGTGCTCGGTGGCTCTTCAAGAGTCAGTCGGTGCAATTATATTTTTTAACCTTAAAACCTCCCCCCCAATCCACTATCAGTGGTGTAATTTCATTTGGAATTCAAAATAAATACAAATGCAATATAGTTATTTAACGAAATGTTCAAAAATAATATCTCAATTTTGGAAGTCTTTAATACTGAAGAAAAACTTGCTAAATAACCTAAACAATTTGTTAGCCCGCTTGTTGACAAATCCATACACTTTTAATGTAAAAAAAATTTTGTTCTACAATTTATAATCATAGTCCTTCCTTTAAGACATCAAAGTATTAGGTATCATTGTAAATTGAAGTAAATTCATAGATACAGGTACAAGTATACAAATAACCGAATCATCTAATAAACTAGTAACTAGGTGGGTACCTAATATAAAAATTATTTATAACGTGATTACAACTATACGTTATAGTGCAGAAAATATCTAAATATATCATAATTACATTATTATGCTATACCGATTTATTAGTATTGACCATTCTGATAACTTGACGCATTATGATGCTACGGGCTTAACGAACGCGGGGCCCGTGCTCCTGCTGTGTGATTCCGGTAGACATAGCGTTAGGAAAGTTCCTTTTTTAAACGGAACTCGTTTCGTTCCTCGTTCATTTCCTAAAACAAGAACTCGTTCCACTTTTCGTTCCTTTTTTGTAACCAAGCTGTTTAAGAAATATTATTATTATTATTAATATAATTTAGATTATAAGTATGTTTTAATCATCGTGTGATTTCAAGATAACATTTATAGGTCAGCAGGCAACTGTGCGGCTGTGTCGACGCGATCGATGTCTATAATTGTCTACACACACAAATTATAAATAATAATTAGGAAACCAAAAACCTTTAACATACAACATTTAACAAGAAACGACAATTATATCTAATTGACACCGTACAGTTTATTATTTAATATAATGTATTGAAACGTCAGCGTAAACCAACTAAAAAACACTTCCTTTCTACAACAAAGAAAACTAAATTAAAATATATTTTTAAACATTTTTTATGGAACTGTAATTATCGTTCACGGTCCTCAAAAAAAAAAAAAGAATTCGTTCATTTTCCTGTTCCTTTATTTTTAAAGTGAGCAATATTCCCAGCTTCGTTCCTACAAAAAGAACTTGTTTTGGGAATCCGTTCCTTCTGGAACGACTTTTTTCTCAACACTGAGACTTGTGGTATTGTTTCTGTAGGGTGTGGGAATTCACATTATAGTAGACGATACTATTCTCCCTGTAGGAGGGAATCAGAATACTTCAACCAAAAAAAATTGCAATACCTCTACTTGTCGTAAGAGGCGACAAATAATTCTATAGTAAACAAGTCTCAGGCGAATAGTCTCATATCGGATGTATATGAGGAGATACGAGATAATATGTGTACGGAGAACATGAGGACATTCGAGGGCAGCCAGTGTATGTGAGGCAGATCAGGTCAAGTGAAGTTTAGGACGAGAGTAGAAGACTCAAAATAGACGGGATGAATTCATTTGATAACTCATATTCAATTTTAACACACAAAATATCTTAGATGATCCAATCACCCATTTGATTACCAATAGAGTTGTACTACTTAGTAAGGTACATAGGCGCCGCTGTGTCTAGTAGATGCATTGTGAGATAATTTATGGATTTTCTTTTTCGTTTTCAAAATATTAAGAAAAACCCGAGAAAAAAAATCGGGATTATAGATATATTTACGGAATAATTCGGCCAATCCTATCGAACCGAATTATATTGTACTTTTACTTAAATTTAAGTGGTCAAATTGTACTCGGGTTTGAACAAATATAAAAATGGTCAAGGCAAAAAAAATTATAATAGAAAAAAAACTTTAAAGCTTTAAAATTATTAATTCGCATTTTCCTTCCATTAACTCTCTTAGGAGTTTGGACCAACATGATTCAACTAAAAAAGTACATTTTTTAATTATCATTTTAAAACAATTGGAAAAAATAAAAGAAACTAATTTTGAAAAATTAACAACGTTCAATTGTTCAATAAAATGTTTAATTCAATTAGATAATTATTTAAAATAAATTTAACACTATATGAAAATTAAAAATGGAGTGCGTACAAATATGGAAACTAGAATCTCGAAATCCGTAAAAATCTGGAAAGTACAAAACTGGGCCGTATTAATCTGGACTACACAATATTATGTTTATCCGTTCAAGGGGTAAGTGTAGGCCATAAATATACCATTACATAAATTCAATATTTAAGGGGCTACGTATAAGCAATTTTTATTATTATTTTTTTAAACTAAACGTTTGTACAAAAATCCTTTACTCGCCAACGTCAAATTATCGGCTCTTTCTATATTTCTAGTAGTATGCATAATGTCAAAATTCCGCGATTATATTTATGGGAATTTGAACGCCTCACTTTAAAATTTAATTTTACTTTTGAATCAATTGTTGGCAATACTGTTGTTGCGCAAACTAGTTGGATCGTTTATAATAGTATTTGGTGTTAAACACGGACGCACAGCGTTATTTGAAATAGCGCCACACGGAACGGCAAAACGTTGAACGATTTTTTTTTTTTATCTGGGCGACAAGTCAAAAACAAAAAAAATCATTTTAGACGCACCTAAGAACAGTAAGAACCGTCGAAGACACCCCACCCTCCCCCGGACTGCGTATAAGCAATTGAACATTGTTTTATATATTCTCGTATTATAACTTATAAATGGCGAGTATTGGTTTAAATCGATTTCGCGGCGGAATTCTTTTTTATTCCGCCGTCTCGTTGACTTGATATTCCACGCGCAAGTTCCGGCAGCGGCAGAATAGCGGGCAGCGGAACGCAAATACCGGCAACCATCGGGGACGGACACGTCGGGCCCCGAAATTCTCCACTACTCGTCGAAACTTAAAAGTGTTACACTAGTACCTAGGTCTGGATTGATCACTTTACATATGTTACGGACACGCTTTCGAGAATATTCGAGTGTTGGACTTCCCTGCGAGGTCCTAGCAAAACGAAAATTGATTGCCAAATAACGATGGAACAGTGATATGGAATTTCAAAGCGAGACGTTCAATTTTCTACAAATATAATCGCGGAATTCCGACGTCGGCAAATAAAGGGAATGTTACGTAAAAGCGCTTATTTAAAAAAAAAAAATTAATACACATCGTCCCTTAAACATTGTATTTTATGCAATTGTATATTTAAGGCCAACACTAACCTCTTAATAGGATATTTATAAAAATATGTAATCCATTTTTGTACCTTTCAGATTTTAACTAAGTTCGAAATTCTAGTTTCCAGATTTGTAAGATTCAGACATGTACAGTCTAGATTTTTATGGGTACCGATTAAAGATGTGCAATAGAATAATTTCAGTTTATAAACTAAGCTGATGTTTTCCAACGAAAAGCCGCTGCTCTGAAAAACATACAACACAAGTAAAACGTTATTATTTAGCAACAATATTTAAAATATTTAATCCATTCTTGGCAATTCACACTTTGTACATTTACAAGACAAAAAAAATGGATATTAAATTTGTGACAGAGAAATGTAACCAATTCATCAAGTATACTTAACACACTAACAACTATCAATAAATGTAGTTAATTTTGTACTATTGTAAAGACAGACAAATTATCTTTGAAGTAAAAAACAATTTAAAACAAACAAATTAACAGAATTGTTGCATACACACATTAAATACGAGTACATGCAAAATTAATGTTTTAAATAATTTAATATAATATAATTTTGTTTGAAACAACAGTTTAAAGTTCAAAATTTGTATAATATCAAGTGTAAAGAAGTACTTTATAGTTTTAAAAGTAAAAACTAATAACATATGATTATTATCAAATATTGTATAGTATTAATTGTTATTATTAATATTTTAAACAGACCAATAAATATTTTTGATTTATAAATAAAAATGTAAACTTATTATGTTTATCATTATACATTTAATAATAATAATAATAATAAATAATTATATATTTAGAAATATGAATATAATAATATAATGTAAAAGGTTTAAATGTCATTCAAATTATGTAACAATATTGTGTTAATTATAAAATGATTAAAAAATAACATTATAATATGAGAGAGTAATTTTGTTATGTTATTTCAGATTGATTTCAATTGAATCGCTTAAATGTGAAGATGTTAATTTCAATTATGAATAATATTTTGAATAGAAGTTTTTGTTGTTTGGTTGGATTTCAATTATTAAGTGTATCTGTATATATTATAAGAATTGTATCGTGAAAACTATTGTAATATTAACTTGTTTTTTTTTTTTAATACAGTACGAAACATTACACTACAGTCTATCAGTGATTATTATGAAATTAAATTATAATATAAAACTTAAAAAAAAACAACAAGGGATATCAAAATAATAATGATTTTATAAGACTAGAAAAATTTTAACTTAACAAATAATACTATGATTCATAACAATAAATTATAATGTGGAAGTATACCAAAGCATAATCAAAAGTTATTAATAGTCGACTAAAGATTATATGGAAGTAGCAAAGGAAACTTTTAACAACAAATTAAAATGAAAAATTAACCAGACAAAAAATTTAAGAGAATATTTTATATCTGACTAGTATATTGCACAAGGTTACATAGACTAACTTGGACAACCCCCCCGAAAATACTAATAATAATAATAGGGCGACTACGTTAATAAGGATATTAAAGCATCAAATCAAGGATGGCTTATTATTTTTAAGGTATTTCTTCATCAGAGCTCAGTAACATTGCCTTTTCATTGTATACTGGTGTCTGTTTTTTTGCCGTTTTTGATTTTCCATTGTTATCTTTGATTCCACTGCTTTTCGATCCATAATTTTTTTGGCCACCTGTAATATTCAGAACAACTTTAAACACAATTTTGTATTTGTAATAATGTTCATGGTTGCCACGATATTCCATTTTGTATTTTCCTTGACTATTCTCTGACTTTTCAATGTTGTATCCAGTTTAAACCAGAATAAACAAATAATATGTATTAAAATTAATATGTTTGTTATTTTAATTTTTTTTTCTTGATTTATTATAATTTATATTAGTAAATTAATAAATGTAACAATGTATGAACGTGATTTAAAAAATATATAGTATTTAATATATTTTATTTTTTCAAATTTCAGATATTCAATATTTATGTATATAAATATTAAGGTTTGATATTAAAATTCCAAAATTGTATACAAATTCCCCGACTATTCCAGGTTTTCCAGATTTTCATCAATCTTTCATTAGATAATTAAAAAACAGTAATTGGAAAATTGGATACCAAACATGTTATTTAATACTTAAATTAAGAAAACAGAAGTGGAAAAAAAATGTCTTTTAATCAAATTTTACATTTAATGAAAAATAAAATACAAATTGCGAGGGTTGTTTCCCAAACACTTGTTACTATTAGTAATAAAATAGTGCTCACCTAACAAAATATACTAAATCTTAAAAAGTTATTAAATTGTACATAGTTTTGTATAAATACTTAATGATTTTGTATATATATATGTAAATGTAAAAGTTTTAAATTAGTACAATTACATAATAATTTAAATTAAACTACTAGTTTTTAAATACAGATCACAGGCTTACAAATAAATGTCTTACGAACAAGCAATAAATGTATAAAAATTAAAAAAAAAAAAAAAAAAAAAAAATGATTTAAAACGAGTTTTTGTTAAGTTTATTAAAACAAAAACAAGACAATACTTAGATGTACATGTACTTACTATTCTGAAGAAGATTATTGACTAGTAAGAACAAAGGAGGAAACATAAGTAAAGTACCTAACTATTTATTGAAAATATAGGTACATTGTCATTTTTTTTACCAACAAAGATAGAAAAAATGATGCAAATAACAAGGGTAAGTTTTTTAACAGAGTTAAGTACTCAATAACAAAAAAATAAAATATTAAAATCACATTGCAACAACCCGATAAAGAAAAAAAATCAAGCTATTAAACACATTTTAATTACACTACAAACATAAAAACTATTAAAACCTTTTTTTTTCTATAAAAAAAAAAAATAATAATAATAATAATCTGTGTACAAGTAATTCTATAAAAATATTAATTAAAACAATTATAAACATAAAATCTAGAAAAAAAAAAATTATAAAAAAATAAATAAATAAAATGAATGAATTTTAAATGGTTGAAAAAATAATAATGAAGAGAGCAAATTACAATGAAAACACCTGGCCATGCTTATAATTTTTCGTAAGGCTGAGAGGAACCAACGTCTGCAAATAAAAATATAACTGACTATGTAAGTTTTGTAACTTCAAAACAATAATAATAAACATAGGTATCTCAAATGAATGAAAACAATATACAAGTTGCTTTTATTTTTTTTTATACTGTATATTATTATTGTTGTATATAAAATTAACAATCCATATTTTTTGTTAATTTTATGATCGTAAAATCAAATGTTTTCAATATTTTTATTTTAAAGATCTTTTTTTCAGTATTAGTTTGATTATATATATATTTTTCGCAATTATGTCTTATAGATTAAAAAAAAAAAAAAAATGTGTAAAAGGAAATAAAAACCTATTTTTAAAATACTTCTTTGTAGTATATAATTATAGATTGTTAACATGTCTAGAATACTTTAGCTAATCACTTCAGTCAAAAAATAATTTATCAAACAAAATTAATGAATACTTACTGTTGTTTTGTCTTATATTATTAGTTAATAGAGAAATCAATATCTATTTTTAGAATATTTGATTGATTTTTTTTTAAACTGTAATTTCAAAATGATTAATTAATCATTGTTACTGGAAACTTAAAAAGATTTAGTAATGCCAAATGTTTAACTAAATAAGCTTGAATGCAATAAGCATTATATGAAATTCAATATACATAATAACAATATGTGTATACTATTTAATATGTATTTTGTATATAAAACAGTATTTTTTTTTTTAAACAATAATCATGCTGAAAAAAAAATGCATAAAAATAAAAAATAGTATTTAATTTTTTATTTTTGGTCATTGTCCACAGTCTTCATAATATGCAAACAGCAATTCAAAAATAAAAAAAAATACACATGCCACGGTTAGTAAACATTTTTACCTGAACTGTACTGTGTATATTGTTGATACTGTGGATGGAAATTATGTATGGCGTCTGTCATTATATCTTTTGGATTCATTGTCTCCTGAATAATTATAAATATAAAAAAAAGAAAAATTGTGATCAACATTCCTTGGGGAAAATAAAAAAAAAAATGTTCAACCATTTTAACCATATTATTATAGATAAGTACACAATTTGATTTGTATACGCGCACCTTTAAACTACTGGAAATACTCTGCATAGTAACAGTGCGCGAACTGGTCGGATTTCCCGTGGTGGTTTGTGCATTGTTGGCGTATACCTCGTACGGAAAAGCGGCTCTCAGTGCCAGGGCGGCAAACAGCATTTCGATACAGATCAAAAAGTTTTGGTAGCCAGCCGATACTGTACCGGCGCTTGTGGGTTGACCGCTGGAATCAATGACCGGATCGATGAATTTGGCTTTTTCCAAAACTGCCAGCAATACACCTTTAAAAGAAAAATACCGATTATTACGATTCACCATCAATAACGTCCTGGCTACGAAAGGGATATTACCTTGCCAGAACGACAGGAAAATGACACTTTTGATGGTGCAAAACTTCAAGACCGGTTCGAATGGTATCAGGAGATCTCTGGTGGCGAAATAGAACAGGAACAGTCCGTAAAGAGCCAAGCTGACGGACAAATTGTAAATGGCCGTGACGTACAAATATCCACCGTCCATGCTGCGAAAATACGCGTATCGTATTAAAAAATTTTTTTTTCCCCACACGGTATGCAACGTTATAACACGCGCAAGTAGCGTTATAGGCGTTAATTGCGTTTTACCTCCAATCGCCGTCGTGATAATGTCCGACGTATTGTAGAAATATAATGACGAACGCCATCGCCGGTTTCACCAAACAAAATTGCAGAGTCGCTTGCTTGCAAAAACGCAGGAAACCGATCGTGTATGTGCGTCCCGTCAAACAACAGGTCCCGTATTGCCAGCTAGACCTAAAAAATTAATAAATCGTGCAAATATGTGTATTGAATTAAATGTATTATTATTTTTTTTTTTCGCGTGCAAATAATAGACAAAAATAATATTGTTATTTGAACAACCGCCGCTCGACGAGAGCGTGGGCGCAGCGGCTGTCGCAGAGCATCGCATACGATTGTGATGTTTTGATAAAAAAAAACGGAAGTTCGCCGCCGCACAGCACTTACTGAATGGGTTTCCCACGGATTTCGCTCATTATGTTCCCTTCGCCGCCCAAGTATTCGTAACACAGACTCATGAAATTGTATATCACGAAAGCTACGGAGAAAACACAACGGTTATTATTATTGTTGTTGTTGTAATTTACCTACGCGCCATATTCGTCTCGCGGGCGGCGCACGCGAAACACAACAGCAAAAGGATTTCCGTTGTTTTTTTTTTTTTTAACCTGTCGGACGGTCGTCGTATTTGTCATAACACGCGCGCTTACCTTCGTAGCAATCCCTGATGGTAAAGAAGTAAACGTAGTAGTGTTCGTTGTTGAAGAACAACAGACTGACCCACGAGTGGAGCGCGTAAATGGGCACGATGAACAATATCCGGATAATCCACCGTTGTTCCGCCGGATTGGTGTTCCACCGGAGGTGATGATATATCTGCGAAAATCCCGAAACGATATTAGGTTACGATTTCGATCGTAGATGTGTTTTTTTCGACAACTACAACGAACGCCGATTATTATTATTATTATTATTATCATCACGGTAGTCGTTGGTTTCAAAAACGCCCTGTAGTATACACGGTCTATCGATCGCGAAAACGACGCGAATGTCCGTCAAGCAATTGCTATTTGGGTATTATTATTATAATAATAACGCGCCGCCTACAGAACGACGAGTTCGGACTTTCTAAGCTACGTAAACACCTAACAACGCCGTCACCGCGATGAGGATATACGATAATAATGCGATCGAAATCGCGGTAAAATCATTATAATCGACAGTTAATTTATTATGATGTATATATATGAGAATAATAAAAAAAAAAAAAAACAGTAATAATTCATTGGCGGCAGCGGTCGCACTGCTGCTGCTGTTATTCGAAAATGCGGTTTTGCAGAGACCGCGAGAGAAATCGATTCGTTATTCCCCCCGTCCGGAACACCGAAAATCTCGCGGTATTATCGCCGATAATTTCTGCTTCAGAACGATTTTGGGATGGCCACTTCGGTCCGAAATTTCCAATGTGTACGGCACCCATGCGCAGTTGCAGCGGTCTTCGCCGAAACGAAAAAGGTTAAGAACCACTGTTCTGGACCGTCGCCAAAAACAATATGGAAGATTGGGTTTATGGGTTTTTTTCTGTTTTTAGATTTTGAACGCAGCGGGGAATGTATTGGTTTTACAACAAGGTGTGCGAATTTTTATTTTTTGTTTGTCTGCATACGACTTTTCTTCTAGAAATCTAACTCCGATAAAAAAAAAACACGACGCGAGAGCTTTTGTAAAGCATTTTTGGTCTGGCTAGTACATCGAGGATAAAACCGGCTCTAGACAAAATGTATATTTAGTACCTACACAGGCAAAATCCAAATCCACTCTTTCGATTTTTATCTCTCCATTTACCCTTTAACCATATCACATAATTATGTATAAGGTCCGTAAAAAATTAGCGTCACTTAAAAAAGTTAAAATAAACTTGACTTCATTTAATTTATTATAATTAAATATAATCAAAGTATAATATTATAGATTTACCATAAACGTATCATTGTTAGACCGTGAACGGTCGTTTACCATTTTAAATTACGAGATCGAATAACTTCATAATAATATTACGCTTTTACAGATCAAAAAATGAAAATACCAATTAACAGGTACTACCTGCACAAATATCATGTAACAATTATTATTAATCACTCGAGTTTTATTTTATATTCAAATAATAAATATCGTTGCGTACAGATATAAATCAAACATCATCTGTATATTATCGACCCTTCCAACAGTGGCACACCGTATTAACAGAATTTAACATTTTTTTTTTTTTTTTTTAAATTTTGCACACACGCTATTTTTCAGCGTGCCAAAATTAAACAAACGAACATAATTCGCAAGATGGGTGGGCCACTGTTGTACGTCAGGGAAGTTGGACAGATAAGATATAAAGGGTGGATGATTTAATGTACCTATATCTGAACGTAACGATTAATCATTGCTAACTAAAAACGATTCTGAGCGAAGTTCGGTTATACATGATTTGAAAGTAATAGGTAATTACGATTTTCGTTAAAATTTGATATTAAATTTCTTATATATAAAAAAAAAAAAATTCTACATTATAGTAAATTCTTTTTTTTGACCACTAAATACGACTTATAATAAACCTCCTGTTAAATGTCCAAGCATTTCTGTTTGGTCAAACAGTTTTATCCACAGAGTATCTATCTATCGAATGAAAATTACATAAAAAAACTCGAAATATTAAAATATCTCAAATATTTTGAATATTTTATCACGTCTAGAGAAAGAAAATATAAGTTTTCTGTCAAAATTTCAAGTCTCTACAAATATTTTAAACTGAAAAACAACAAAAAAAATATGGGAGCATCGAAAAACGGCTTTCTTATTCATGCAATATTTTTGGTAAAAAACATAAGTTTTATAACTTATAATAGATAAAAAGATATAAAACTTATGTGATAAAAACAGTTGGTTTACATAGAATACAGTATAATAACTATAGTTCGGGATTTATTGCACTTGAAATCCATGAAAAAAAAACCGCTTAAAACCGTCAACAAATCTCTAAAAAAGCACTCGAAAAATATTTTAAAAAAGCAGAAACGGCAGAAGGGTTTAAATGTACTATCGGGCTTTGACTTATTAAATACAATTTTCTAATGCTTCACTAATTACTAACCCAAAGTAAATATTATTATTATTTTTTTTTTTGCAATTTGTACAATTTTATTCGAACAAAATTATGTATTCGATAATAATTTCGAGTCGCCGGACAGGTGACCTTTTAAACCTCGAACCATTTGTTCTTACGGTGTTTAAAGTGATTTTTTTTGACGTTTTCAAATGCTTCTTTTACGAATTTCAAGTGCAATAATAGTTCTTGGCAATAAAACGACGTTACACGGATCGATCGTGTAATATACTCGTACCCATACATAATATACACGTATACGTGTACCAATCAATATAATATCACATAAGTGTACGCGTATATTTGACCGTGTCGATTTGCACAACGCACGGTGGCGGCGTTACAATAGAAACCGTTCCGATAGTGTTGTAGAGGGGGAGGAGGAGGGGAGGGGAAATAATTATATCAAAACTCCCATGGAAAACGCGGTACGATACTAATCGCATACGGTGCATCGCGAGGCGCGATAAAAAAAAAAATAATAAGTAAAAATAAATCTGGAATGTCGAGGTGTAGAACGAGTATCGTATTGTTATTACGGTCGATAGACGCCTAGGTCCGAACGATTAAAAATACGTCGACGAATCGAAAAAAACACGTACCTATCTGCGACCGACGGTTGTTCGTTTGTTGTTGTTTTTTTTTTTTTGATTATTATAATTATTTAAACGTTATCTCACGACGAGTTTTTTCGTACAGTTTTTCGCTGAAAAATGCAATTATCTGTTAAATTCGTGTGCATTCGAATTTTTTTCGCGCAACGGCAAAATAATTATAACGACGGTATTTTAATATTAATTTTGTCGCTGCCGGTTTCGTCCGGTCGTGAAACGTTCAAAACGCATGTACTCGCCCCTAAAGAAGAAAAAAACCAACGGTTCATTTTTTCTTTTGTATTTCATATGACTTTTTTGGCTTAACTCACTACTCGTTTAAATAACCAATAACCGAAATAAGCATAAATTAATTATGTACAAACCATAAAATTGTAAAATAAATAAATTACTTCAGTATCATACAACTTTGAGAGTAAAAAAAATAAAATAAATAAATAGTAACAATAAAACAAGACAAAACGTATTTCCATCTCTAGAGGCGTACTTCTATAGGCTACGAGTGAGGCCACTCTTGTGCCTTTGTGGAGCCCTAACGATTCATCATACACATTATTACGAACAACAACAATGTGAAAATTTTGTCGTTTAATCAATAGACGGGATCACGCGCGCGGGACTCGGAATAAATTTGCAATAACAATAAATAATATTGTTATTAAAATACAGTTTCAAAATATACCACATTATCTTAAACAGCAAAAAAAATAATTTAAACGTTACGTTAACAAAAAAAATATCAACTCCGCAGTCAGTGACCCCTGTACGTTCGCTCGTGGTAATCGTTTTCGTCGGTACCCGTACTCGCAGGTATTCACAATTTTCTATAACACACATTATATAGGTGCCTTTTTAAAAATTCGCTACTTAAGTACCATCATAATTCATTTTTGGCGAACACGCGTAACGTATAATTCGACTTGCGGTAATATGAGGGTCATTTACAAGTTAATTATCATAAAAGTGTTGTGGTTAGATGCGGCGGTATGCAAAACGCTGTTAGGTACATCGGTCGTCGCGTTAGTTCATTGGACTTTGCGAATACTCGCGCCGAAGTCAAATCACTCGCGTACTGTTCAGAGAACAATGATAAAGGGATTCGGTTTTTTTTTTTTTTTTTGTTTTACTTTACGTGCTTTTTACAAGAAGAATTTCTACGCCTCGTATAACGGACCGATTGCGATTGTCTTTTGTTTTTTTTTTCGAAATAAGAAATACTTCTTACAAGCAGTGCCGTATTAGCGCATAGACGAAAATGCGTGGTTACGATTTTTTTTTTTTATTATAATTTAATATTCACAAAACAACTGAAGGGCGAATCGTGGGTGCCTGGGTGTTCAGAAATATAACAAAAAATATTAAGTTTTTATAAAATAAAATTTATTAAAAGAATTTTAGACTGCGGAAATTTCAATACATTTGTGGTAGGATGTGTTTTGGGTTGGGATGGGAAGGTGGGATGATGGAAAATTAAAACGGCGATTCAAGGTAAAAATTCATCACTGGTGGGGAAAGACAAAGAAATATGCAAAATGGTATAAATGAAGTTATTTTTTTTATAGTTTCGACAATGTAGTTTTATATATTTTGGAGTAAAATAATTTTTTTTTGAGATTTGTTAAAATTGTTATCATATAAAAAGTTATAAACGTTAACCCTAAGCAGCTTAGGGTCTACGAAAAGAATTCGATAACTTTTTTTTTTCTTTCTTATTAGTGGCAAATCTAACAATTTACTGTTTTTTTTTTTTTACTTATTAGTGCCAAGAGCCTACGATGGTGTTAATCCGAGTTTGCTTACAGGGCACATTGAATTGCACATACTTCCAAACGGTATAACTTAAGAGTTTGAATATGCTTAATTTTCACCATTTGAATTATTACTTTTTGGTTTTTTATTTAATCAATAATTGAAACCTAATGTGGTCTGTAGGAAGTGTTGCTATTTGCAAAAGACTGCAAAGTGAAACTGGATCATGCTACGAGGCGTGATAGAATTTCCTTTCTTCAAAGCATGTTATGTGCCAAAAAAAAAAAAGCTGCAGATATTGGGGACGGGTGTGCCACTGTTATAGGACGTATGTGGAAAGTTTTAATGTAAACAGAATACATAAAGTTATTTAATTTATACCTGTAAGGAACGATATAAACATTGCTAACGAAAAATAAATAGTAATATTTACGATTTTCGTCAAAATTTGATATTAAATCTCCTATATATTATATATATATATATATATATATAAAATATACTACATTACAAGAGAAATTTAATGTACATCTGTACGCAAAGATTAATATTAGTAGACGAAAAACGATTCTGAGCAGAGTTTGGTTATACTTCTTTAAAAGGCCGTAATATTTACGATTTGAAAACAATACATTTAATACATTTTCCCGTTTTTTCATTTATTTGGGAAAATCAAAAAACGACCTCCATAAAGTACCACTCCGGTCAAATTTCTTTTCATAAAAAGTGCCACACTTAAAAACAGGAGCAAAATTACTGGTAGAAAAGTTGTCCACAGAAAAAAATAAAATAAACATCATTCTAAAATCAATACATTCCTCACTCTACTCAGAATCTAAAAAATCAAAAATAACAAAACTGTATTTCCTATGGGTTTTCACAGTTATTTAGTAAACTAAAAGGAAAATCAAAAAATAAACCCCCCCACTTCAATACATAAACTAGACATAAAATACTACAAAATAGTTTCCTTGATGTTCTTCGATTGAAGCTAGATTTCTGGTTGGTACCGTAGAAAGACGGGGCGAAGTGAACCTGGTTAAGGTAAAGTAGTCTGTTATCATTTCACGTGATGATATTTACCAATTAAACTTTCAAGACGTTTTAAATAAAATTAATTTAACCGATTATACTTTCATGACAGTAACATAAAGAATGATTTTTGATGCAAGTAATAAGACTTTTATAAACCAATCCTTATCAACTTATCATATTGCTTTATAGTTTATTGCGGTTTTTTTTTCAGTTCAAAAGTACGATTGATCTCAAAAGTAAGTGAAACTATGAAAAATTAATATTACAATTTACTTAATAAATATTTTAAAATGTGTTTAATAAGTTCTCATTAACTTATTAACATACTAATAGTCAATAGTAACAATTTTTAAGCTAGTTAAAAATAAAAATATCAACAATGCTAAAATCGTCAGGTGAAATATCAGAAAAATCGATTATGAAGATGTTATTTGCGATATAACGAAACCAATAGATATAAGAACAAACATATTAATGTTTCTTAATTTAAATTTAGACTATCATATCATAAACTAAATGACAAATATTATTAAAAAAAAATATTTTTATTAATCTTATTATTTTTAAGTATTAAGATTGTTGATATTATCATTATAATATTACATAACCAACCTACCTGTGTTGTTATTTGATTATCAAGAAGGTATCAAAAATTTAATATTTTTTTTTATTTTTGTTATAAATGAAATGTGAGTCTATTTCATAAAACAATTTGTTTACCTAATTCAAATATAGTCTAATGATTTTTTAAAATGTAATTTACTGATCCTCTTCAGTTTTCTAATTTATCTAAGTGGTTTTTAATGAAAATAAAATGCCTAGTCCATTTTGCCGCACACCTGTAGTTAAAATGGGCTATACGTGGAAAAAAAATTGCACTAATGGTTGTAGATATATTTCTATAGAGATTATATATTTAAATTATGTCAGTACACAACAATAAACCATTACAAACAAAAAACGATTCTAGGCCGTAATATTTACAATTTTCTTCAAAATTTGATATTAAAATTCTTATAAAAAAAATAAAAATACTACACTTCATTCATTTTTTTTTTATTTTGTTTGAGTACGACTTACAATGATCCCTTTGTTAAATGTTCAAGTATTTCTGTTTAGTCTGACAATTTTATCCACAGAGTACCTACCGAATAAAAATAACGTATAAAACTCGCAAAACTAAAATGTCCATGAATATCTCGAAAATAATTTGAAAATTTATAATCCGCACGTCTAGAAAAGGCAGATAGAAGTTTTCAGTCAACATTTCAAATCTCTGCGAATATTTTAAATCGAATTATAACAACAAGAAAACAAAATTGAAAATAACGAAATCATATGCTATTTCTGTAAAATTTCCCGTTCTTTATATGTTTTTCTACCCGGTATCGATCAAAATTGATCAGTTTGATAAAAAAAAGAAAAAAAAAACACAATACGCACATTCCTCGCTGCGCTTAGAATATTAAACGGCTATAGGGACCACACGAGCAGGCTCCGTAATCCACGTACCTAATATAAGAATATTACAACCGAATGAACCTTATATGTGTAGTTATATATACTTATACGATTCAACAATATTGTAAATGTTGACATTTTGTAAAACGCAACGGACAGGACCCTCGACATAATTTTAAGGGTGTGTTTTAATGGACGAAAATAATATTGTGTGCACGCCCGCGTTTCGCCTGTCGCAATAAACTGTTGACTACCACAATGTGTGTGTGTGTGTGTGTGTGCATTTTATGTTTAAATAGTCTATTATTAAAAATTTCGCGTATACGGATCAAAATGAATATTGAACGTAATTTTTTGTACGCCGAGAGGTCGTCAATTCTAGAGCATGGGCGGGGCGGGTCGATCCGGACCGCGCGTGGGATAAAAACGAACGAGAAAAATAAGAATATTTCATTTATTACGTAAGTATATCAATACGTTTCGTGGTAGATTATTATTTTCGTTCGAAATAAACCGCGAGTAAATTATATTGATGTTTGTGTCATCGGGAAGTTTCCTATAACGCAATGCGTATACACGTTTCATCCAATGAAACGGACGGAACCCGAAAAAAAAACCATATTAAATGTACACATATTAACGACGGAACAATAATTTTAACGAAAAATCCGAATACACTTCGCACCACGGGTAGGCCTATTATGGTGTTGTAGTTCTGTTCACGGAAACGAAAACGCCGGGGAAAATCTTCGGGAACGTCACGGGGAATGAGAAAAGGCTGGGATCGTTTTAATGCAAAATGTTTTGTTGCCAAATTTATTTCAATTTTTAATAATTCAAATAATCAAAAATATTTTATACAAGGAGACGCTAAATCGCTGATCCTCTGTGGCATCCGATGCTTCAACAATTTATGTTGATTAGAGCATTAGAAATTTGAAAAAAATATTAATTTTAAAAAATAAAAAAAAAAGAAAGTTTTTGTATTCCCCTCCTCCCCAAAAAAATAATATAAAAACAAAAATATATTTTAATTTTATTACATTCAAAAGTAATTAATTTTCAAAGTGTCTATACTCTAAATATAATTACCTTAAAAATGTTTAAATTATTTATGGTTAAACAAAATTATAATTATAATTTTTAATAAATTATAATACTATGGATAACTTTTCACGAAAGTTTTATTGTAGGAAACATGCTCTGCAAACTGTTCATTCATACAACACAATTTTGTTCAGGGAAAAATACTTTCCTATTAGTTTTTACGTCCGGAACAACACCTGTTAGTAGAATTTTGTACAGTCTGGTCTCGGTCTTATTTAGTTAAGAAAAAAATAAACGGTTCAGTCCAGTCTCATGATTTATTCTATAAGTCCGGTTCGGTCCTAGTCTTAATTTCACTTTACTGGTCCGGTCGGGTTTTTAAAAAACCGAACCGTGCAGAGCTCTATAAGGTAAGGTAGGTCACTTTTGTATATTGACAGTAGAAAAAAAGAGGATACAGGTATGGTAATTGCACGTTTTATACATTCGTTTAAACTGTGTTTAAAACGCACGCACTAAAAAACAATGTGTTTAGTTAATGTGTGTGATAAAATTGTTTTAAATTATGAAATGAAAAACTGTTGACCATTGTACCCAAACAAGAGAATGACGAATTCAAAGTCTGGAAGTCTTGATTATAGGAACGTATTAAGAGAGGGGGGGAAATGACCCTGGGCGCCGCATTTCAAGTGGGCGTCATAACTTTTTAATATCAACACGTCACTCCACTGCAGTTTACACTTGCTTAGAATGGTCTACAAATATTGTATTTTAAAGATCAAAGTGTGTACAGTAGGTACAAAATGTAAAGTGTGCAGCTCGAAATTCCAGCGGCGTTGTAAAAAAAAGTCCAAGGATAACGAGGACGGGTGCTGCCATTGTTATAGGCAATTTAATGTATACCTGTAAGTAACGATAAACCATTGCTTACGAATAAACGATTCTGAGCGGAGTTCATATGATAGCGTTACGGTCAACGGTATAATATATGCCATACTATAATAAAATAATTAAATAGGCTTTATATATTTTCTTTTATAACATTTGTTTAATGTTGTACAGAATTTCCTGGTTTTTCACATTTTCTGGGAAAACTATTGAAAATTGAAAAATAATTTCTCTAAAGTATCTTCCTCGTCTGATTTTCTTTTAGAAAGATTACTGTCATTGTAAATTGGAGCAAAATTGCTGGTACAGAAGTTGTACAAAAAAAAAAAAAAAAAAAAAAATCGTAATATATTTTAACTAATATACCTACATTTCTTATATTTTTCTGATTTTTCTCAGTTTTTCAAATTTGATGATAAATCTCCTGAGAAAATCGAAAAATAACTTCCCTAAAGTACCTCCCCACACCGATTTCCTTTCCGAAAAAGTGCTATACTTAAAAATCGGAGTAAGATTTCTGGTAGGAAATCTGCGCTCTGATAAAAATAAACATTTTCGTAAAACCATAAGCTTTTCTACGCTCAGAATCTAAAAATAAGAATGTTAAACATGTAAATAATACGTCTTTGCTTGGTTACCAAATGCTAATCGATTAAACGGATTATATCTATCAGTTAATTATTATCACACGTATTTTAAGGATATTTATCGTTTAAGGAGCGAACACACAGATTTAACCCTATGACTGGCCGCATCACTTTGAATCAGTGGGTCATCCAATTCAGTAGCCCCGATTACGTATCCGAGACGAGATGATGGACCGTACTGCTGCAGGTGCAGACGAAAGCTTTGGAAACCGAAACGAACGGATCCCGCGTGCTCGTTCCTTAATTAAAAATAAAAACTGCGCCACTACACAGGTGTGCCCGGCGTGCTCTCACAAAACCGCAATTTCTGGAAATCGAATTATTATTTCCCGGACGGCGGCGAAAAATAATATCATTCAGATTTCGGAGGTACGAACAGCGCCAAGAAGCGAATAGGCGACAAGTGAAAATCGCCCGAATAATTTATAAATTTCATTACCATATGGAAAATGCATTATTCATTTCGTTCTCCAGTCGCGATTCGCACTCCCGGAATGACATTCGACGGTGTACTAAAGTTCGTTTACGCGCGACATTTTCGGTCTGGGATTGTTCGTGCGTTCGAAACGCCCGGAAAAATGTTTTTTTTTTTTTTTCCCCCAAAACTTTCGTATCGCTGGATACATTATGATACGTTTAAACGTCCACAGTAAACACCGAATATTACACGAGGCTAACGCAATATAAAAACATTTTTAACCGCAAACATAATATTTGTTTACAACGATGTATACGTGCGCGTATATTATTTCCTTTTGGTAAATATTTACCCCGAGGCAATAAACCAGACAATAAACAGTACGTCAATGCAGGTTTATAATGCCATGTCACTACCAACCATAAGGCATGCGGGCGGGAATTACAGTAACTAAATTAGAGGTAGGTAATTGTCGAACTTCCCAGTACTTAGAGAAACGTTTCGGAAAAACTGTGTGTATAAATATATATAAAATGCACGTTATATTAAATATTCGTCGAAAAACGCGGAAACGTTTAAATTAAAATTCCCAGTTCCACTTGGAATATTGAACAACGAGAAATAAAAATTAACCGGAAAATCGGTACCCGTGTACCTAGGAACTTTAAAATTTGAATTGTTTATCGTAGAAATTAAAATATTATATTGTCTTGCTGTCAAATTGATTGATCGAAATTTAATTTACATTGCTTGGCTTTGTAGTTACTAACAATAATAATTATAATGTGATCAACTAATCACTATATATTATGTATCTAAGTAATCGTAGGTACATATTATTAATTTAACATCTTTATTTTCTTTATTGTAGTTTATTTTATAGTAATAACTAGAGTAATAACTGTACTTTTCGTTTTATTTCCCAGAACTAATCGTTTATGACTACAGTCCAAATAAAATAACTATATTTACATCCACCTATACAATTGGTTTTTTTTTTTAATGTTCTAGTAGTAACGAACTAAATACAAAGATATTTCTTTCATACTAACATAAAACTCATAAAAACTAACAATATTTCAATGTTTGTTAAACATATAGTTATCCAATGTGGTTTTATTAAAACTAAAAACAACAAAATAATATTTTGCAAATAATGTCATGAACGAAAGAAAGGATAATATGGATCCAAAGCCACAATATTCACCTTGACAGTCGATATTAAGAACCTTGATCATTATTACGATTAGACACACAAAGATTATTATTATTATTATCACCTATACACTCCAATATAGGTAACATAATAATATAGTCTACCTATAATAATTATATCAAATACATGTCATGTTAATGATGTTCTTTTAAAATAGTTTACAAAAATATTAACAGCTTAAAAATTACCTAAACTTTGATATTGTATAAAAATCAACTGAAATGGTAGACGGGATAAAATATTTCAAATCAAATTTTATTACCTAATTAAAATTTAGTTATTGATACAATAAGATATTATTGTGAAACTCAAGTTAGGTAAGTATGTGTCCATAGATTGTTAAAGACAAATTTTCCTTTATCATCATTACCTATCTACTTGACATATTCAATTATCTTTAAAACAATTTCCTTATATTCCTATACATATATTTTTAAAGATTGCCAATAAGTTTATTTTACAAACAGGAAATAATAATACATTTTGAAATGTATTGAAATAACTAATTTGACTTAATTATTTCATAATTAATTCAGCGACATAGAATAATAATTAGGCATGTCATAATTTCAATGGCAATATAAGTTAGAACAGTTAGGGTAAATGTTTAGAGAAAATAATATTTAATTATTATTTATTTATAGTACCTAGCTTTCTAAAAATAAAAATTGATTAATGAAACTTTTTGAACATTCAAACTGATCCAAAAAGTGATCCTCGAGAAAAATAAAAAACTACTTATACAATTGAATCAAAATTAAATATACCTACCCGAGTACCTACCTAACATTAATAAATTAAGTTTATGTTTATCTTATAAAGACAATAACGAGGATAATAATAATTGTTAAATAAGATAGTATGATTACAGTACTTTAAACTTTTTGTCACATAGTTAATTTTAAAATGTTAAGGCATTACAATAAATAACTATTTACTATTAATTAATAAATAGTGTATTACTATTACATAACAGTGAATATGGAAAGCTCGTTTATAAAAAAATGTTTATTGGAAAAATAATTAGTTTGGATCAGTTGAAAGAAACTTATTTTGGAAAAATGAGTTACATATTATATTAGGTACCATAGTTGAAAATAAACAGCTTTTTTAAATATGAAATTGGTTTTTTTTTTTTAACTGACCTTTCTAAAAAAAATGTATATAATTTTTTCTATTGGTGAAATAATAAAATAATTTCCATAAAGCATTCTATAGATAATAAATAAACCAACGATTTTTGTTTGAGAAATTTCAAAGAAAACCCATTAAAGTTGTACATAATTGAAAACAAATTGAAACACATTGACAAAATGTCAAAGAATAAATTGCCATACAAATTTTGATAAATAATATTTACCAAAATATGTAACAAGAAGGATTAATGTTCTGTAACAAAATTATGGCAGTGCATTTTTACGCTCCATTAATTTTTCATTTTTATATAAAAGGCATTGGAAATTTGAATAATTGATTTTTTTTAAGGCCATATTAAATTGAAACGACATCATTTATAGGTAAGGTTATACCCGACAAACAACCTATATATTTAATATATTGAATATGGACTTATGTTCAATTTACATTATAGGTATATGCAAACAATGAAAATAAAAAACATATTAATTTGTCCTTTAGTACAACCCAAGATCTTACAAAGACTTTATAAAAAGTATATTTTTTTTATGATTTTTACACAATCTACCAACCAATATTAATCTGGATGAATTATTTTTATAATATTTTACCTGTTGGCATGTAACAAATACAGCTGTCCAAACAAATAGTCCAGCAATCACTTGTGCAGCGGTCGTTTGTAAAAATATTGGATTCGATGGCATTTGCACAATTCGTGGAATGATGGTTTCAATCGTTGTTGTTGTTATGTTACTATCAGATGCCATTCTAAAATTAAAAGACAATTATTAAGTATCATTAGGTTTGTACTTTCACTGGTTGTATAAGACAATTATTCAATTTTATTAAAATTGTACCTATTCAAAATGAAATACATAGACACAAAATCTCATAATTTAAAAGTTTTATTAATTTCACTAAAATTTAGTACCTAAGTATTATTACAATACAATAAATTTGGTTAAGTTAAATTTTTAAACATGATGTTTTTGATAGGTACCTGAACCATAACATTACATGAGATTACTTGAGTTTCATTCCATAATAATATATTACTTTTAACTGGAGTGGATACATAATATAGTTTTGAATAAAGACATACTTATGCAATAATTTTCTAGTGTATAAAAAGATCTGAAAAATGCTGACATTAATGATTTTTTGAGTGAGACTTGAAGTAATTATAATTTTTATTATATTGATAATATATAACATTGAATTTGACAACTTTCCACTTATTCTCATGTTACAGTTTAGATAACATATTAATAATTAATTCTGTACTTAATTAATAAGCATCACAACCAAACTAGGCAGATAATTCAAATTTATTTATAAGCAATTTGTAGTCCTCTCATCATATTATTGTTTTATTAAAATTGTAGGTGCCTATATAATTATACCAGATGATTCATTTAGGTAGGTATACTCATTATCTCGGAAAGTATAAGCTTTTTCCGGAATTTGTTTTCTAGAACATTTAAGAAACAACCAGCTATACAATTTTATATTTATGTTATAATTTGTCATCCTTATTTTTGGGGTTAAAACCATTACCTACTTTTGATTTTCAAATGAGAACCTATATTAAAAAGTTCATAAATTAATGGAGTATTAGTTAAAATCAATTTTAGTGTTGAAATTTTTGATTTCTGTTGACGAGATATTTCACATTTAAGTTTGGGGTGAAGGAGAGTAGTTGAGTGTTATTAATGCACCACTACTCTCCCCCAAACTATAATTAAACGTGTAATATCTCGTCATATCCTATTTTTTCTTGTTAATCAATTCATCCACCTAAGTTTTCTCAACTCTGATACAATCATTCTCTGTTATTCTCTCTGAAAAAACTCCGAACCATACATACCATAGTCGGTTTCACCACACTTTTGGAACTTTCTTTTAGGTCTCATTGGATTTATCTTGTCACATAAAACACTTGACGCTTCTCCCCACTTAAACCTATTTCATATGCTCGTCAAAGCTACCATTCCGCTGTACAAAAAATCCCAGGTACCTAAAACTCTCAACTTCGTCTATTATGTCACCGTTTATTGCCATATTTTATCCCTCCAAAATCGTACTCTATAAACTCTCGTTTTACCTTTACTTATCCTTAATTTCTTTCCTTCAAGTGCTAGTCTCTATTCCTTAAACTTATTGTTAACTTCTTTAAAATTGTCTCCTATCAAAACTATATACCTAATCTGCAAACATAGTACACTATAGTACCTTGCCTTTTGTGTCTTAGAAACTTTATTCTTTACAACAAAAAACAGGTAAAGATTCAAAACCGAACCCTGATGCAGAACTTCTCCAACACCCAAAATCGGCATTTATTACACACACACACACACACACACACACACATCTTACACTAATATCTGAACCTTCATACATTTCAATCATAGCTACTTATATTAAAAATACAAGTTGTTCAATAGTTAACTTTATTTTCATAATAAAACTTTCACCTACTATTGAAGGTATAGTATTATAGTACTTATTATTCAATTGACAATATTGACAATATAATATTAACAAATAATTGACGATAGTCTTTTAAAATCATAAACTACGATAGATAGATAAAATATGTTCATGTTCAAATGTAGTAAATTAATTTTCTTTAACATTAGGGATATTTTCATCAATAATTCAAATTTTCATTTAATAAATAATAATACAATTTAATATTAATTTAACTATCATAAAATTTAAGATTAAATTGTTCATTAAAGAAAAATAAAGTGCTTTAAAACCAACTAGTAATTTAGATATTCTATACATGATAAATACACCCATCCATCAACAATAACATAAGCTAATTTTGGCCTTAGTACTTAGGTATAACAAGAAATATGAAAAATATGAATATTATTATATTTTTTTAATTGTCTTAAAATGAAATGTACACCTACTTAAGTAACATTAATAATTTAGGTTTATGTCTTATTTGATAGAATAATAATAACTATTAAAACAACAAATTTAATTAAGGTAGATAGATACACCAAGGGATGTACCTAATCATAATTATTAAATTAGGTATATGCACCTAATGTTCACAATACCTACCTAATAAATAATTATTGTCACACAATTAATTTAAATGTTAAGGGCACTTCAATGAATAACTACTAACAAATCAATAGTTTATTGGTATTGCATAACAGCCAACAGGATATGCAAAACTTACATATAAGCAAACGAATAGGCATTCTATAACAGATAGTTACTTGGGGTCACTTGGAAGAAACTTATTTTAATTTTGAGCATTACATAATTTATAATTATACATTTGTCTACCCATCTATTACATAAAATACGAAAACAATGTCTGATCATATAACAAACACAATTTATAATGAATTACGAGGGAATAACGCGGATTTGTATAAATACGTCGGTGAGAAAACTTACACCCAATATAAATTCCGAGCTGTTAGGCGTTAAAAATAAACATAATATTATTGGCAGACTCGTGCGATTGTCAATACCGATACGACGTGATAAAACACATCTGAAAATACAATTAGATAAGCCGAAGTGTAGTGAAGTACTAATCGGATAACCGCAGTGAAACGGCCAACGTACGCGGCGCATTGAAGGGTTTTGAATACCCAGGGTGTAGGAGAGATTTGACGTAGCACATCTGAAGGGATTATGCGACCGTACAGTTATTAATTGACAAACCACCAGAACCAACAGACAATAAACGATGGCCCCAGAGACGCGTAAAATCATTAAATTTCTAATGGACAACGAGAAGAACGTCCGGGACGCGGTTAAAGTGGACAAGCCTGTAATACAATATTCGGCATCGGCGTTCGGATACCGAGCGTGACCAGTTCGTCGATCGTAAATTATCAAAAGCAATCCGACACGTCTCCCAGCGTCGGAAGTAGCCGGCGGACCGTCTCGTGGTTGACCGACAGTCCGAAATCGAGAAACCAAGTCGGGTTGTTGAAAATTCAACGATCAATTGGAACGGAATAGCCGGAAACAACAACGAAACGGACAGGCGCCCGGGTGGCCAACCGACACTGGTAAGGTAGTAATTCGGTGTGTTACACCGCCGGCCTTGCACTTGGAATTTTACCTGTTGGCCAGTGTGACGAGGTGGCGCGCGGACGAACTCTACGGTCGGCTGGTACACTATCTGCGCGTGGCTGTCTTCGGCGTCGTCGATTACTGTTCCGTTTTGCGTGCATCACATGCTAGACCGGCGACGGCGGCGCTCGGCGAAACTGGCATATTGTCGGCTGGACTCGGGCATTTATTCGTCCAATATTTGTGTACGCCCGGCCGTGTACGATAACGTATAACCCGCGAATTACGCGCCGACGGACACGTCGATCGGAATATCACCCGCAAAACGGTAGACGCGAAAAGTGAATGTATACGGACAATGAGCCCCGTAGTATTATTCGGTAACACGCGTGACGAAAACAAACCGTACGGTGCGGGAGGCGAGTCCAGAGAGACGAGCAAGACGGCACTAGTCACTGCGGCAGCGGTGTGGCGGCGGGTCGGTAAAGGAAAAAAAAAACCCGATGATAATTGATCCTACCTGCGGTGTCGGGGAGGTGGTAGACGGTTCGAACGAGTTGATAGTGGTGGCGGAGGGCAACAGATGACGGTCACGGAGGAAAACAGCTGTTCGTTATCAACCGCTACGACCGCCGCGGTTATTGATAATGTTTTGTGCAGTGGCTTTACAGTTTTTATTGTATGTTGTTGTTATTTTCGTTTCGTTTTGTTTTGCGTCTTACCCGTTACTTATTCCCCTTGGGTTTACACACAACAAAATACGGTCGGTAAAGACACAATATCCTCGCCATGGCTCTCGTGTACATTGACAAAGAAGCGTGGTAAGAACACAACAATAACATTACGCGTTTGATATCCGACGGGGCGGATTATATCTGTTTCGTATAGTAACGCCGAAAGTTTGTAAGCCGTATACGGTTTTTAATTCTAATGGAAACTATTTCGGGTAGAAAGCAATGCTTAGAGTTGTATGTTTTTAAAAAAAAAAAAAATAGTAAACTGTAAATCTTCGTTTGTAGATAGGTTCCCTCTAAATATCGGCAAATTACAAGTATACAAGGGGAATTTTAAATATTTTCTTATAAAGTACGAATCACTCATGGCAGTCAACTTTTTAAAGACGTTCATAACATGTAATATTTATATCAATTTTGTTCATGTAATTAATAAATAAATAAAAAATTAATTTGTAACAATTGTATAGTTAATTAATAATTAATATTTAACCGATTAAATAATGAGTGGCAATTTAATTTGTCCACAAATGAAATTATGTATATTTAAACAATTTTGTATTTTAAAAGAGGTCAGGATGTTAGGTAATAGAATATACAAATATATTATGATTATGTGTATACCAGTTGTAAATCTCGGTGTATATCAGTAACGGGGTTTGTATCTCGAGTATTTAAAGTACACACATGTGTCATGACAAAAACTTATTGTGTGTTACGATTAATAAAAATGTATAGATTTGAAAATTTTATAGATCTTTTATTTTAAGATCTCTCGGAGTTTTAAAATTTTATATAGCAATTAAAATAAATGTATAAACTAATATATACATTGTTTTTCCAGGAAATTTGAATATGAATCGTGTGAGAAGCTGTACATAGAAATCGAAGAATTATTAGATAGACAGATGTTGGAACAGAGATCTGGCAAATATCGATCTTATTGTTCACAAATTCACCATAGACTTAAACAATTTCAGAATGAAGTTCAGCAGTTATCTAATAGTCTCAAAAAACTTAGCACATCTAATTCTGTGTATCCTTTGCTATTTAAATATGGTCATTGTATTTTTTATTACCTAATTTAATGGTTTACTTCACAAAAGTTGTAACAATTTTTTATAATGAGAAGTTATCATAGATTTTAGAGTATTTAAAAGGCAGGGTTTGTTCAGATTATATTGTAGAATAGATATAGAATATTAGATAGCTAACTGATGTTTTCATTTGATGCCAGCCGTCATATGTGTTGTGGCCAATGTTTACATAATTTTTGTATCAATACAGCTCGATAATAATATGCTATTGTGAAACAGTTATGTTATGAATGATGTTTATTTCAGCCTCGTTCATTAATTAATCAGTATAGTGAAATAGGATACTTCTATTCATAGTTTCCCGATCAATTTCATTAACAGTATTAAAACGTAATTAATTTATAACACTGACTTTCTGGAGTCAGTGGAGGAAAAATGGAATGGAAGCTATTGTTTTATGTAAATATCTAGTATGCATAAAATAATTAAAATACATCACAACATGATTTTAAATCATAAAAAATAAGGAGAAAAACAAAACTGAGTATAAAACACAGTGCATGTGATCAAAGATAAGACACGTGTGATGAAATCATAGATACTTTATGAATGATAACAATAGAAGTTGAAAAATGTAAACATTGATCATCGCTTATAGGGGTTGGTGTTAATGTTTGTATCTTGGTGTATAATAAGTTAATTATTTAATATTCTATATCTATGGATTATACAAAGTGAACCAGTCAATTATTTATATTTATGATTTTTCTTGAACCAAATTGTAGTTAGTTATAAATTATACTACAGTGCTTACTACATTTTAACAAAAATATAATTTATGGATAAGCCAAAATAGTTGTACCTTGATTAGTGATTTCACATACTGCATTCAGAGCGTTTTTAGATTATATTTTATTGAAAATTAATTTCTAGAACTGTATGGTAAATTTAAGGAGAAACGTCTAATTAAGTTGTCAACAAAATATATAGACTATTATACTAGTCAGCCTCTCATCCACCAAAAAACGCTAGTGTTATATTAAAAATTGCATAGTATCCTTATTTTTACTATAGGTATATTATATTACATTTCTTAATGCATATGTATGCAGATTTTTCTTTGTTTTTTAGTATATAAAGTTCCAAATCTTGTTAATGAATAATAAAATGTTGGTTCTATATTTCATAATTAAAAATTTAAGTTTCAGATAATTAGTGTAGTGAAAACTATAGATTACTATAAAAATCACTGAGAAAAAAAATTAATATGTTTGTAAAAATGTTTTGTTATAATTAATTAAAATTAAGCTTAAAAACAAATGTATAAAATTGATTTCAAAAATCCTGGGTAGAGATAATAATAATAATAATTATAGAAGTATAGCTCCCACGAGTCTTTGAAGTGTTCATAATTTTAGCACCCCCAAAGTTGGTGGTCTAGTTGCGCCTATGGACCTCTCACTACGACTCAATAAGATATCTGTTGTATCTTTATGCTTTGTGCAGTTCAGTTTAACAACCTTTTCTGTTGTATTTAATCATTTCCATTTTTATCATCCACAAGAAAATTATTTTCGTATTAAAAAATTCTATCACTTTAATTGTATCATATGACCACAATAGATCAATGCGAACATATAGTAGGAAGTAATTTATTAAATGTAAAGTATAAATGGATTCAAGTAGACAAATAAATTACATACAATGTAATAGCTTAAATTAGAAAATAATGTAATCAATGTGATATTTTATTAAATTTTCCTGAGTTACTTATGTCACTTAGCACATACAGTGAATTGGAACGGCGTAACCTTATGGTCCAGTTACTTCAGTCGAAATTTGTCACAGTAAACCAACGTTATCAAAGCGGGTAATCTCATAAAAATACATCACTATATATTTTTAAAAATGTAAAGAAAAATTGTTTTATTTATTGATAATGTTTCTTTCAGAAACAACACCAATAAAGACTATCAGGAATTGTTGAGACCGAGTACTAGTTATGTAAAACCTAAAAAGGTTGAAACACAAATTTCTGGTTGGCTAGACAGTGATGATGATGACGATAATTATAATGATGTTAAACAACCATTAATTAATACAAATATAAAACAACAACAACAATACTTAGTTAAAGGTAAAGTTTAAAAATATTGTAATAGTGTATTTTTTATATTTTAACAATTAATTTTTATAGAACAAGATGATGGGTTGAACGAACTAGCATCAATCGTTTCAAGACAGAAAAATATAGCAATCACTATAAGCAGCGAAGTCGATCTTCAAAATGGTTAGTATAATACCAATTGATTTGCAAAGTACTAAAAAGTAAATTGTATTTCAGAGATAGTTGATGATTTGTTGGTGAAAATGGATAAAACCACTGTTGGAATTGAACATGAGACCAAGGAAGTAGTTCAGATATTAAAAAAAGATTCAACTCGAGGTATTTTAGTAGTATATAAATAATAAATAGTTAATAAAATGTAAAAAAAAAAAAAAAAATGTATTAATATTATTAACTATTTTCAGGACTTTGGATAATAATTATTCTTCTGCTGATTGCAAATGTGTTTGTTGCATTTTCGTGATATCCGATTCTAGACATCAGCCACTAGCTATACTCATGTTAATAAATAAACCTACTTATTGTTATTTACCATTTTATATTCTTCATTGATGATATATACTATATTTTTTATTATTATGTTAACTATAAGTTATTTTTTAAACAAATATAATAATATTAATTTTTTAAAACTTCAGATTTTCCTTCAGATCTTATTGTTTAGTTCAGGAGCAGATCCAGGTCAAGATAACGAAAGGGTTGATTTTTGAAATTCTTATAAGACATACATTTATGATGAGCTCCACGATGAATCAAGCTATGAGTGAGAGAGTGGGGTGATTACAATTATAAATATAGTTTTTCATTATTATTATTAATATTATCCCTGTACATATTTGTAAACATGATACCATTCTGATACAAGTACCTATCCAATATTGTATGGAGATGATTGAATTTGATAAATTAGTAAAAAGTTACTTCCATGAAAATGGTGACTATATTATAGTTATTTGTTTAATATTTAAAAGAATATAAATCTTAAAACTAGTTATATTAAAAAAATCCTAGGCTCCAACAAAAAAATGTCAATCTGAGTTTTCAATTAATTTTATTTATTTGATAAAACCATTTCCATATTATGTTGTAAATTTAGCTTATATGGTACTGGGATATTTTCTCCCATGTACTAGTGTACTACTGGACCAGTTAGATATATTTTAAGCATTCGGCCAATGTTATGTTTTTGTTATAGTGATAAACCATTTCACCCATACAGTCCACATTTATCTAACAAAGATTATAATTATTAATGATATTAAATATATAAAAATAATGATAATTATCATTAGAGGAAGGGTTGGGGTATTATGAATTTCATAAAGTTGTGACTGCTCTCGGGTAGGTCATTATTGTTGTGGATAGTTGGGAAGGTCGCACAATCCTAATTTAGTTTGTACACTATATATAACAATAAATCATTGCAAACAAAAAAGGATTCTCAGTGGAGTATTGAAAAACTTAACTATCAAATTTTTTCCTTATTTCCTATGTAGGTACTGTACTACTAAATAGAATTTACGCATCTATTTCAGTAGTGCATGAAAAAAATTGAAAATTTGTCTAAACTAAAAACTGATTTAAAGAAAAATACAAATATATCAATGTTTTGTAAATTTCGAAATAATTTTCAATTTAAGTACCATCAAGTAAAAATACAAATCTCTTCAGGTATGACTTGAAAGATCAGAGCACTTTTACTAACCGTAAAAGTGTGTAATGAAAAAACAAAAACTAGATTCTTTGTTACACTCTGAATCTAAAATTGATCTTAACACATCTCATAATTTCTTTTGATGAGACTAATGGTACCTAGATAATTATGAGTTTTGTAAAATATTTAAATGGTAGGTTGTAACGTCCAAAAACGGCCATTTTCCGTTATCGTAGGACAAACGTATCTACAATCAATGTAGTCGACCGGTTAATATATTACGCCCGCGGCGACGGACATGTTACGTCTTCGTGATCAATAATCCGCACCGCGAAAAGATCTATGCGTTCGCAATCTTTCGTAATTTACAATAATATTATATTCCTGACTACGGGTTAACGGCCAATCATATCACGTTTCCTCTTATCGCTAAAAACGTCGGCCCGCGGCGACGTGTGTCACGAACGTCTCGGCGCTCCGCTACCCAGTTTGTTGTTCGTCCGTTTTTCGCTACGCGTAGTTTAGACCTGGTCTCGAGACTCCGTCGTCATTCGGCCGCTAAATACGGTTTTCTTTGCTCAAACAGACCCGTACCGCGCGGGTTCGCATACTTTCTGCCATCAAGAAAGGTCGTATACCTTGGCATGTTTCCTGTCCAGATGGTGCCTCAAACGAACTGATGGAGTGAGTCCCGATCTGGTCCGCCGGGCGGACATCCTCGGGCGAGATGATTGGTAATGTATATGTAGTTTAATAAATGGCCGATACCCCGTTTAAGTTGGGTAGTTTTAAGTTGGTGTATTTAATGTCTCCCGTTTAAAATGTTTTTTTTCTCTCTCTCGAACAATCGTTTGTTCAATATATCACGTACACACTTCCCAACACAATATTTTCCCGTTTTTATACGCGTCCTACGGTCCGCGTTGTGTATGTTAAAGCCGTGTATGATATAATAATTTGCCCGTGTTAAATTCTCCCGTTATACCTACGGGGATCAACCAGCGTTTATTAAGTTTGTGCGTCCGTCTCGGTGTAGTAATGCCCGCGTTCCACATCCTATGTGCAATATATGTCAATTTATGTTGTTTATGTATATATATATCTATCATTTTATGTATACACACCTATGTACCTTTGTTAAAATCGTTTTCTCTCGGTTGATAGTTTTTATGCCATTGGCTTTTCTATCACAACAACTCGACTTTATTCTTATTCGGTGATTATTAACTTAATAAATAATTCTTTATTCTCCCCGAAAAACCACGTGTTTATTTATTTTAGCTTAATTTTCCCTTTTCTCCCGTATCGCCCGATGAATCCAATGTTCACGGTGCTAGATGCATCTACAAAAATCTTAGGACTCCGGTTTTCGAACCTCGGTTCTAGGTTGGCGACATTGCTCCTAGACGGGTAGTCAACTGGGCGCTCGGAACGGTCCTCTAAACAAGGCCGGCCGAACCGGGACGTCTCAAGGTATGTTTTTATTAGTTAAATATTAATAATAAAAACGCCAAACACACCTTTACATTATAGATAGGCCATTGTTATGGGTCAAAAAGTTTTGTATATCTTATGAAAATGAGTGGGCGGGTCGTCAGAAATATCGTCAACATTCAACAAGACACGATGATATTTTAAACACGTGTGTGTGTGTGTGTGTTTTTTATCGAAAACTGTTTCTATACGATATTTTAACGTTCGGTAACCGATATCGTGTATGCCGGTCGTCGGATAGTGTGCACAACCACGGGCGACGACGGTGAAAATAGTGAAATACCTACCGCTCAAATAAAAATACGGTTTTTACCGCAATATTGTGCGTACACGCACTTTTAGAATAATATCTATTTTAATACACGTATACACTCGGTATTTATTCTTCTCGTCGTAAATACGTGCGTGGTATTTTTGAAATAAACGATTTATATTGCAGTTCGTTTAAACTTTGACCTTCGGTTAACGAAACGTATGCGCTCGACCCATTCAAAATGGTCGACGGGCCGCGGAGGCGTCACGTAGAGGTTCGATTCGAAAACGGCAAAGACGTTAGGTTTTCGTTAGTTCCAAACGCGTAAATACCTACCTACCTAGGTACACACTCCTTGACCGAAACGACGTAGGTGGATTCGGACAGGGGCGTACCGAGATGCGCTGGTTTCGGGGGTTTAAACCACTTTCAAATTGATGTATGGATAATTATCTAAACACCTTAAACCTAATTATGTCTTGGGTTCGCCATATTTGTTCGAATCCTAAAACAATAATCTATTTTATAGTTTTATTTTTAGATCTTAACACAAATTGTACTCAATTGTCACACAGCTTATGTTTGTCGACTAATCACTCCCCGCATCTCTATTCTCCTCACTATAGTTAGAAATTTTCATCCTCTCCCTCTTTTGAGCTTTCATCTTTTAAAATTGCTTTTGGCTCAGAAACTTTTTTCGTTAGTAATGGTTTATTGTATATGCGTCTACAGATATAAATTAAATTATCTACTCTAAACAATATCATACATAACAAAATTTTGGTTATTTAGATTATTTTGGTGTGGTTATCATTCCCCGAAAAAATAGTCCCTAGATAGGTAATTATTAAAATGATTAGTGTATTATTCTAATACCCTCCCTCCCTCCCTCCCCCGTCCCCGGAATGTTTTCCCGGTTACGGTACTAGTCGCAAGTATACGTACAACGGCTCGGATACTATAGACAGGTTAACAGGCATATTCGATACATATTTTTTAAATTAATCGTTAATTACAAACAGATAGGAATTGGTAAATTGCATAATTAGTATTATATTCAAATTTATATTAGATGTATTTATTTAATTAGTAAACACATCCAAAACAAACGACAGTAAGTAGCCTACCTACTGTCCTGACTGCCGTATGAAAATATAATAGAGAATTTAATTAAGGCAGAAACATTTAAAAATACCTAACAAATATATTGTTCACGGTATTCATTCAAAATAATATGGGTACCTCTCTAACACCTATAACAATGGTTTTCAACGTTTCGGTAACAAAAGTCGTTACGGATGGACAGTAGACACATATTGAGTGCACCTATTACCTTCACGTGTAGATAAACAAAGGCGTCGTGGGTCGGGACGATTTATCTAATATATAGTCTGTGGAGGCAGGTTGATGATACCTAATTTAAATACTGACGACAAAAAAAAAAAAAATGTTCAACGCCTAGTTTTTTAGATTCTGAACGAAATGAGAGGAATGTACTGGTTTTATTATGGTGTATTCTTTTTCGTGTGTGTTTATAAATAACTTTTCTATCATCAATTTTGCTCCAATCAAAAAATCTGTGACCCAAATATTAAATATTTAAATAATTTCTTTATAAAACAAGTGTATACATTTATTTTACTTTACTTGGACTATGTGGTTCCACTAATGGGTTATTTGGACCGTCACCAACACTCGAAAATAAAAAGACGGTTTTAAGAGGTTAAAAGTTGGAAACTGAGCTGAATTTATGAACCGAATTCTCAATTAAAATATTATATGTGTCAGTAATCTTTGAGGCGCCTATAAGTAAAGGAAAATGTCCGATACACTCATTCATTCAGACTAAATCTCTGAATCTAGAGAATTAAAATTTTGGTGGTATATAATATCTAATGGTTTAGGGGTGGGATAAGAAAGGGTTTTATTCCAATCCTCTCCTAAGGGAGATAAAGTTTTTTTACGTTTTAATTCAGTGCTCAAAGCCGCTACCTACCAGAAATATCGGTAATATTGAATAAACCGTAACCGTTTACAGTTTATTTTTGTTAACATGATGGTTACCGGCAGTGGCGTATTTTCGGAGGGGGAGGGCCCCGGGTCTCGACCTCCTCGAAAAAAAAAAATTTGATTCATAAGTCATAAATTACTTGCT